GGGGAGGGAGGGGAGCTCCTCCCCCCTCGCCCTCCCCCACCCCCCGCGCGCCGCCGGCTCGCCTCTCCCCTCAGTGTTCCCGCGAGTGCTGTGCCGTCCGTGTGCTGGGAGTGCGCAGCGCAAGCGCAGGCCGCCGCCGTGCCGCCCTGCCGTTGTCTCCGGCCCGGCCCCTCCGCACACCGTTTGTTGTCTGTTTGATTTCCTATCCCCGAGTGCGACACCCACCGCCGCCACCATGTTCAAGCTCTTCGGTGGCCTGAAGCAGTACTTCAAAGTGCCCGATGTCATCATCGACTCGCCCATCTTCCGGCTGCACAACCTGTTCACGACGGCGCTGCTCGCCTCCTGCTCGCTGGTCATCACCGCCACGCAGTATGTGGGCAAGCCCATCGAGTGCATCGTCAACGGGCTGCCGACCCACCCCATCAACACGTACTGCTGGATCACGTCCACCTTCACCATGCCGGACGCGTTCCAGCGCCAGGTCGGGAAGGAGGTCGCGCACCCCGGCGTGGCCAACGACTTTGACGACGAGGACGCCAAGAAGTACTACACTTACTACCAGTGGGTGTGCTTCGTGTTGTTCTTCCAGGTGAGTTTGCTGCCCTCCCACCGAATAGACTTTCTGAGCTTCTAGCGGCGCGGTACTCTCAACGTAACGCCTCATCAGCCCAAAGCCGAAGCGCGTCGCACCGACGACTGATGCAACCCCTCGCTCTCGCTCGCCACCGGCGTGTCGCCGCGCCGCGCACCACCCCATCATGGAGGGGTGGGCTGAAAGAGCACTCGGAAACTGAACGAGCAGGAGGAAATATCGGCAATCCTTGTAACGCAACTTACTGTTCACTTCATTTATTGACCGTAGGTCTCAAAAGACGGTTGCCGTAACGTGTGTTGTACTGTGTCTGTTTTTATTTGGTTTACGTGGTCAAGAGCTTGGCATTCTTCGACGTTGAAAACGCTCAGGAGTAGGACATTCTGGATGCACAAGTCCTGAAGGTCCTGGCCTGGCAGTGGCGGCTGCCAGACACGGTCAGGCGGCCCGGCGGGCGAAGCTGGGCGAGGACATGTCAGGAGGCGAACGCGCTGCGCCCCTCTCGCCCTTCCTCAACCCCAAGGACGCGGCGCGGCAGCAGGGTGTCTTGCTCGTGGTGCCGGAGTGGCGGCGGCAGCAGCGGCAGGACGGACGAGTGCGACGAGCGGGGGAGTAGTGGGGGTGGGAGCTTTAGTGTGACAAATAGTTGACGTCAACAACAACAACATCAGCAGCAGCAGCTGCACAGGTGCCTGCCCTGCCGCTGCAGTCCCCCCCCCCCCTCCCCGGCCCGCTGTGCTGCAGTTCTGGTGACGGCAGGCAGGCTGGCTCGCAGGCTGTGCCGGCAACAGTGCAGGTGCCTGTCCTCCCCCGCCCCGCCTGCCCCGCGCCGCCCGGGCCTCATTGTCGGGGCCGGCGGGCCCTGCTGCCTGCCTGCCGGGGGCTCAAAGGGTCGATGGCCTGCGGGGCCCGCGCCTCCCGCGCCACCCCCATGTGGGTCACCTACTTTTCCTCGACGGGCACCGCCTCGCGAGGGTGCGTTGCGCTGCGAGAGCCGTTGACGATCCACCCTGTGCCGTGACCACAGGGCGATAGTCCCTTCACATCGACGTCAATCGAGCAGGACCCACTCGTAAAACTCGAGTTACAGTCAAGCCAAGCCGCCTCTTTTGGCGAGTGCTGTCCTCGTTGTCCTTGCCCTGCTGCCCATCACCGCGGCCAGTCGGCTGCGCTCCGCTGGGCTCCATGTCCAGCGAGGGGTTCAGAGACTCCACCGGAACACGTTGCCGCTGACGTGCTGTACCGGCCCACACCGGCTCCCCCACGGCACGACCTGGGGGCTCCTGCCGGCCCCCGTCTGGCTGTCTCGTCTGCGCCTGCCCTGCCTCCTGCTGCCTGTCCGTTCTGTCATTCCCAGTCGCACCAGCCCGCCCGCAGACGTGCCGGAATCCTCTACAGGGGATTGATTGAACGGGTCTAAATGTCGGGCGCTTTATTTCCCCCTGACCCCCCGGCTGGCTCTCCCACACCCGACTCTCGCCGTTCTGTTTGCGGTGTAGTTTGGACACCGTATATCCGTGTCGTGTATCGTTTTGGTTTTATCGGGGCGGATCGGTCGGTAATGCGACTGTTTGTGGCGCGCGGGGGGATTCCGGCCGCTATACGGGCGGGGCCGGGGAGGGCCCTACCTCCAGGGAATGCGTGTATCTCCCATCAGCTGTCCGCGCGCCTGGAGGCGAGTGCTGAAGGCTGAGGGAGGCATCGGTTACTCGGGGGCTGGAAGAGTGTACTCGCCGCGCCTCGCCCGCGCTCTCCTCTCTCTGCTCCGCGCAGACAGACGTGACTTTGTCGCCCCTCCCCCTCTCCCCCCTTACATGGTCCAGCTGTGCTGCTGTAGCGCATCCTTTGGCGGAGGCGAGGCAGCAGGCGGGAGGGGAGCAAGGGAAGCACCGACAGCACAGTCTATTTCCAGTCAGAGGAGAGAGAGAGGCTCTGCGATGGGGCGCATCGGAGGCGGCCGTCTGTCGCGCCGCGCCGCCGCCGCACGTGCACGGAATGCGCGGCCTTCCAGCCTTCTGCTGTGTCGGTCCCGCCGGCCCAGTAGCGCCGCGTGAATCACTCTCGACGCCAGATATTGTAAAACTCATCTTCATGGTCGGCGGCTTTCGTATGCTACTGCACTATACTCGTTTGTCGGGTTCCTATCCTCTGGCACTCGTGTTGTACTAGAATTTTTGTCGGTGTACGGCCGACTACACACACATGGGCGCAAGGTGGCGCCGAGGCGGGCGGCCCGGCCGGACGGGTGGGCTGCGTCCGTGAAATAGAACTGGATGACTGTTCCGAACGCCCTCCACGGGGCCCGCCGCCCGTTGCAGACGCGGGACGGGCTCTGGCCGGGTGCCCAGGGACGTCTTGCGGAAATTGAGAGCAAGCAGTTTGTGTGGAGGTTTTCGGTCGTGAAGAGGTTCGACAGCAATCCTGCAGGGATGGAGTGGAGCGTTATCAATTTTATTTTATGTGATGAGTACGGCCCGTACGGCCCGGCTGGTCGTTTGGTTGTCTCTGTCGTCGCGGTCCGCCGGACGGTCCGGCCCCAGTTCTGGACGTCCGCGCGCGGCCGGCGGGGCGATATGCGAGGATGTTGATAGCCCGTCGAGCTGATGCGCTCCTCTCCGAGACTCGAAATCTTAAAGAGGAGGAGTAATTGTTTTTATCTCTCTGCGGCGGCCATTTTCTTTTTCTTGATATGTTCTGCCGTCGAGTTCGTCGTGGAACACATTTATATGCAAATGGGAGCGCGTCGTGGCGGGGCGTGTTGGTTGGGGCGTCGTGGGGTTGTGTGGGGAAAGAAGGGGGCATTTAAAGAGACAGAGACCAAGCGATCAGGTGACTTTCGCGCGCTCTAACGCTTGTGTGGTGTGGGTACGACGGTTCACATAAATGTTGTTTCGCCTAATCCATTTCGCACAATTTCTTCCACAACTGTTTTACATTAGTTCCTTTTCACAACTTTTTAAAATGTGAATCTCTATCTGCCTGCTGATAAGAGCAAGTTTGTGTTGTCGGACCCAAATTTGTTTTCTTGACGACCATCTGGAAATGAGTTTTTCGGGTCCTAATCACTTGCACATGGTCGCCAAAGTGCGAAATTTTGGGTTCGTGAGGTTCTTTTGGGGGCAGCTGGTTGAATCTGTTTTATGAATATTCTTCTGTTTCTGTCAGTGTGGGCGGCTGTGCTCCTGTGGTCCAGAGCGCTTGCTAATCACGTTAGCGCCCGCGGCCGCGTCCCGCCGTCCTGCCGCCTCCCTCGCCCTGATGAAAGCGTGACTTGTAGGATCTGAATGGAATGGGCTGGCTCGCCGCGGGCGCTAATCTGTTAGCCAAACTCTGCCGCCCTGACACACATAGACACACTAGCTGCTGAGATGGGTTTTCCTGGATGCTGCTATCGACTTTGCCTCTGCTCCTCCCTGCCCTTTGGGCGCCCCCGCCCCCACAGCCAGCTGCTGCTGCGCCGGCTCTCTCAAATAATCGTCCATTTCCGATTGGCTTATCGATGTGTCAACGATAAATGAATGCTGGCCGCCTCCTTTCGGCCGGGCGCTGCTGGCCGCCCTGCTGCTGTGCCCGGCCCTGGCTGGGCCAGCACGGCAATTAAGAGGAGGCTAAAGTCCCGGCCGTCCAGCGCGCTGGCGGGCTCCGCGGGGCGCTCGCAACGCCTTGCACGGGAAGACTTCTCACATTGTTTCTCAAAAACCCGTGCACCAAAAAAATCCAAATTCGGCTGGTGGGTCCTTGAAGGACCAATCTCGATGTCGAACGCATTCGTTTGCCTCCGACATTGCCTGTATTGCCTACAATGAACCCCCTGACTCGGCCACAACAGTTTTTTTCGTGGGCGCTTTTTGCGGAAAAGGGCTCTTTACCGCTGTAGCCACATCCTTTATCTACATTGTATCAAAATCTGAGATCGATATCTCCA